AGGAAGCCTAAATTGATAAAAAAGAGACTTCAGAGACATATTATGGGTTCTTTTCATTCCTAATCAAATTATGTTGGGGGGTTCTTTGTAATCAGTCAAATTTGAATACTGAGAAGATATTTAATGATACTGAGGATTTGTTGATTATTTTTTCAGTGCGATAATGGTTTCGTGATTTTGTTTATGAAGGGCCTTCACCTTTTAGATATACATGCTTAAATATTTACATGTTGAAGTGAGTGATGTTTGGCATTAGTTCAAAATAACTTGAGGGGTAAGAGGGGAAAGTAGGGTGTAAGTGAAACAAAAGTGGCCCTGAGTTAATTGTTTAAACTAGATGATGCTCATTAGCTAAGTGGGTAACCTTGTGCAAGTTGCTTAACCTGGTAAAGCCCAGTTTCCTCATTTGTAAAATGAAGAATACATTACCTTACAGGATTATTGGGAAAAAAGAGAAAAAGTGCAAATAATATATGTAGGACAGTGCCTGTTATAGTAAATGCTTAAAAAACGGAAGCCTGCCCTGACTTGTGTGGCTCAATTCATTGGGCATCATCCTGCAAAGTGAAAGGTCACTGGTTCAATTCCCCATCAGGGCACATGCCTAGATTGTGAGTTTAGCCCCTGCCTGCTTAGGGCGCATATAGAGGCAACTGATCGATGTTTCTCACATTGATGTTTCTCACCCTGTTGTGCTCCGTCTCTTCCCCTCTCTCTAAAGAAACAAAAAAATAGCCCTGGCTGGTGTGGCTCAGTGGATTGAGTGCCAGCCTGCAAACCAAAGGGTCACCAGTTCAGTTCCCAGTCAGGGTACCTGCTTGGGTTGTTGGCCAGGTCCCCAGTAGAGGGTGTGTGAGAGGCAACCACACATTGATGTTTCTCTCCTTCTCTTTCTCCCTCCCTTTCCCTCTCTAAAAATGAATAAATAAAATCTTTTTTTTTTTAACATTTTAAAGATTTTATTTATTGAGGGAAGGGAAGGGGAGGGGGGGAAGGGGGGGAGAGAGGGAGAGAGAGGGGGAGAGAGGGAGAGAGAGAGGAGAGAGAGAGAAACAGAGAAACATCAATGTGCAGTTGCTGGGGGTCATGGCCTGCAACCCAGACATGTACCCTGACTGGGAATCGAACCTGTGACACTTTGGTTCGCAGCCTGCGCTCAATCCACTGAGCTACGCCAGCCAGGGCATAAAATCTTTTTAAAATAAAGAAACATTTTTGGCTTCGAACCAAAGTGTCGCAGGTTCGATTCCCAGTCAGGGTACATGCCTGGATTGCAGGCCATGACCCCCAGCAACCGCACATTGATGTTTCTCTCTCTCTATCTCCCTCCCTTCCCTCTCTAAAAATAAATAAATAAAATCTTTTAAAAATAGTAATAAAAATAAATAAATAGATAAACATTTTTTAAAAATCAGAAGGCTTTGCTGTTAATGGTTGAATGCCGCTATTTTGATTCTTGGCACATATGGTGAATTTTCTTTGAAAGGTGGAACATAAAATTAAGTATTAAAACCTAGTGTCTTAGCACATTCATTGAGTGCAGAGTCATACAGCGGGAAAGATCGTGATCAAACATATAAGGGCTCGCCGTGGCTGGCGTAGCTCAGTGGATTGAGCGCGGGCTGCAAACCAAAGCATTACAGGTTTGATTCCCAGTCAGGGCACATGCCTGGGTTGTGGGCCAGGTCACCAGTGGGGGCCATATGAGAAGCAACCACACATTGATGTTTCTCTCTCTCTCTCTTTCTCCCTCCCTTCACCTCTCTAAAAATAAGTAAATAAAATCTTTAAAAAAAAAAACATATAAGGGCTCACAGTCTGACTTTGGCATTTAACTGAATACTCTGAGCTTCAGTTTCCTTGTCTTTAAAATGGAGGTCATTATATACTTTGTAGAATTGTAAAAATTGGGAATAATGTTTTAATGTATTATACCTGGGGTAGTATGAGTAAATCATCTACTGCAGTGTCTGGGGTGTAATAGTTATTCGGCTAGGTGGTGATTGTTGTTATGCTCCGTATGTAACCACTCAGTGTGTAATCATCAACCCAAACAGCCCGGTCCATGGAGAACAAATAGCATCCCTGCCGAATTCCTTGTTAATAATTCTTTTTTTATTTTTTCCATTTTCCTTTTCTCTCCTTTAGTTAATTTACGAAGACTGTATGGATCTAATTGCAAAGCTACCTTGTGTTGCCGCGAAGATTTACCGGAACCTGTACCGGGAAGGCAGCAGTATCGGGGCCATTGACTCTAAGTTGGACTGGTCCCACAACTTCACCAACATGTTAGGCTATACCGATGCTCAGTTTACTGAGCTCATGCGTTTGTACCTCACCATCCACAGGTGAGCTAGATCCAGCAACCATAGCCTGGTTGGTGGAAGTTTTAAGAAAAGCTCCTTAACAGTCTTATCTTCTATAAACAGGTGGTAGGTGGCAAGGCGGTGGAAAATGGCATAAGGGCTGATACCAGGCAAGAAAGAGATCTAGGAAAGAAGGTCAAGAGGTTTGGGAAATTGTAACCACACCAAGAACAAGATAGTGCTTTAGCTGCTCGCATTAGGTTTTCCTTTAGCTTTCCAGCAGCTCCCTCTTCTGGTCATTGCTTATTAAAGCTGGAGTGAGAGAGTCAGGGAGCTTGGCACACTGGCATCATCAACCAGTAACATCTCCAGCTCTGTGGATTAGTGAACAAAGGCGAGTAATGAGATTCGGACATCTCTTACAAGAGCTTATGAATAACTGACTGGCTGTAGGCTGATGTGAGCCCATAACTAGGCTAGTATGTGACAAATAAGAGAACAACAGTCTGCGTTTCCACAATCTGCCCCTTTTCCCTCCTCTCACATTATATTTTTTCCGTTACCATTTATCCCCTGTACCCTCTTTCACTCCCCTTCCCCCACAATCTCCTCTTTGTCTTGGCCTTGATTCTCCTATCTTGTTTCCTCACAGTGACCACGAAGGTGGCAATGTAAGTGCCCATACCAGCCACCTGGTGGGCAGTGCCCTTTCAGACCCCTACCTGTCCTTTGCAGCAGCCATGAATGGGCTGGCAGGGCCCCTACATGGACTGGCAAATCAGGTAAGACTTCTTTTTCCTTTCTTGCTCCTTGTTTTTCTTAACTCCCATGCTTTTTTTCTCCTGACCTTCATGTTCTCCTTGGTATGTGTATTCACACTTTTACTCCCAAATCTTACCCATAGGAAGTGCTTGTTTGGCTGACACATTTACAGAAGGAAGTTGGCAAAGATGTGTCAGATGAGAAGTTACGAGACTACATCTGGAACACACTCAACTCAGGACGGGTAAGCAGAGATGCTTAGTGACTAGGAAAGAGGCCAAGACCCAAGTTCCTCAGTTTAGAAGAAATAAGGAGAAAAGAATGAGAAGCAGTCCCAAAATTAGAGAAGAAGCTTTTTCTTCCCTATTTGTCTACCCTAAAGAATTTAGAAGAGACAAAACTTTCAACCTGAGAATACAACTGGCTTTTCCCCCTTGCTCTTTACAGGTTGTCCCAGGCTATGGTCACGCAGTACTAAGGAAGACTGATCCACGATATACGTGTCAGCGAGAATTCGCACTGAAACACCTTCCTCATGACCCCATGTTTAAACTGGTTGCTCAGTTATACAAGATTGTGCCCAATGTCCTCTTAGAGCAGGGAAAGGCCAAGAATCCTTGGCCCAATGTCGATGCTCACAGTGGGGTGCTGCTTCAGGTGAGTCCCCCATTCTCTGCTTTCCCTTTAGTCTACACAGATTCTCTGCCATGCCCCAAATCCACTCCCTAGTCAGGGCAGGGGCTCTTACACCTCTTTCCCTGCCTTTTTGATCAAGTTGCCTGTGGGTGGGGAGGAGGAAAGGGGTGTTCTTTCTTCAGAATTTCCATTGTTACACTTTTCGAAGTGTCATTTCTATTTAAGGGTGACTGGGTTAGGGTCTGTAGTCCTGGATTTATATGTGCCGCTACCTGTGGACCTTTAACAAAACATTTTTCTCTTTGACCTTACAGTACTATGGCATGACGGAGATGAACTACTACACAGTCCTGTTTGGGGTGTCACGAGCATTGGGTGTGCTGGCACAGCTCATCTGGAGCCGAGCCCTGGGCTTCCCTCTAGAGAGGCCCAAGTCTATGAGCACGGATGGTCTGATGAAGTTTGTGGACTCTGCGTCAGGGTAAAACTGAGACTAGGGGGAAGCTAACTACCAGAAGTGAGGGAGCTCAAAAAAAAGGTATACCTTTGTTTCAGGGGGCATTTAAAGATTTAAGATTAAATTGTATCTGAGGCACGGATAGTAAGTTTGAGGTTACAATATAAACTAAGACTTTAAAAGATGAAAAGGGACCCCTTGCCTCCTAACCCCAACCCCTTCCCCCTGCCTGGTATGAGTTGCCCACCAACCATAGGGTGACCAGGACTAATGCATGTGGTGTGGGTTAGATCTGGCTCCTCTTTCCCTGGGTCAGAGCTGATTGCAGAGAATCTGCAGTCCCTTCGGAGCTTTTGGTTCTGCATTTCCCAGCCCTCAATAGTCCGGCAGACCAGGACTCTGCCCGATCTGTTTCCATAGGAATAATGTTGGGTCGCCAGCTGCACTAAGCCCCGCTGCCCTCTCCCTTGTGCACAGACACTTCCTGGTGAGGCCTACTGGTTAGCTGGGCCTGTTTTGGGCATTTTTTTAAGCTACCAGATGACCATAAAGGCCATGGCATTTGTCGTTACTGGCACCCAGTGTTTGATTTTTACTTCTCTTCTTAAAATTATCCCATAAAAATTCAGATCTGGGATTGTTCTATCCCCCACTAGTTTAATACCTCCTTTGAGATTTTCTATACGTGCTGAGCGTCAAGCTGAGGAAGCTCTAGACCTTCTGCTCCTGGTCCCTGCTAGAGACCTCTTGCAGCAGGTTGTATAAACCACTGTCTGATACATGGTTTTTCCCAGTCATTTGGCTTCACATGAACTAAGTGTTTTGTCCATTACCCTGACCTCTTTTTTCCCTTTATTTTAGTTTGCTGTGGGCCATAGAATAGGGACTTGGGAATGACCAGCATGATAGCTTCATGGTCTGGTCCCAGGGGTACTAGTACCTTTTTCTGAGCAGGGAAATGATTTAAGTTTGGACATGGTCTCCTTTGAATATCAGGTTCTAGGGCCGAGGGCATTAAAAATAGTCAGCCTCCTCATCCCCAGCCACAAGAAAATATCCTTTTATTTATCAAAGTCCTTACCCTGGCTGCCCTGTCCCTGAGAGCTCCCAGTACAGTGTTTGCTTTAGAAGCCCCATCTGCACAGGTTTCAGTGACTCAGAATGCTCTGCTGCCTTTTCTTTAAGAAAGGATTGACATACACTCCTGCTGCGCCCCTTCCTCCCTCACAACTCCTGCCTGTGTTTGTGTGGACCCCCTGATCCCAGAACTGCGCTGTTGAGATGGACACACAGTCTGTAAACCCCTGGGTGACTTGTCAAGTCAGGATGCGGACTTCAGGTTGTTCTGTATAAAATGCAAAATAAATGTTTTTATTAACAATGCTTGAGCCTGCTATTAAATAAGACCTAGAAGAATCTATTATGAGATCATCTATTATGAACCCCAGTCTATTATCAGATAAGAAATCTGGCTGGCAAGATCCTGGACTTAAGTGAGCTGCTATAAGTTGTTACGTGTATTCCTTTATTTTTAGGTAGGTTTGGCATTTCTTCACCCTAATCTGCAAAAAGGCTCCCTGTGAGCTTTCCAGAGGAGATTTCTGTCTTTCCTCAAGGCTAGAAGTCTTTGACCTTTAGCCCCTATCCTTCCTAAATTTATTATAAGGTAGAGCACTGCAGAACTATAGCTGAGACCTCACAACTGCTGATGTGACTAAGCTAAGGAAACTGGTCCAGCCCACTGGGTGAAAGGAAGCAACTATACCAAGGACAAATAGGGTTAGGATGGCAAACTCAGAATGTGAACCACTGGGGTGCTGGTACTTCATGGAATGCCTATTCTTGCAGCCTCTTTTAAGAAGGCCCATAAAATATGAGGTGGTCCTGAGGGCATCAGTTAATAATCTGAGATCAGATTATTCTATCTTGAGACTCCTGCTGCAACTGACCTTCTGGAAAAGTCTATTAATAGACAAGGGAGTGGGTACTAGGTCCTGGCTTGCAGAATATACTACTATAGTTAGAAGGGACACTGTGTTCTAGAGGCCTTCTTGTGCCTTCACTCCCCATGACTTTATTCTACTCTGCTATATCTATATTATCCTCCCAAGAAACAATATGAAAAAGCCATATTCACACTGTCACAATTAATTTATTGAAATATTATAAAAACTCAGGCCAAGTGGAAGAAGTTGTACCCAAGAGTACAACTCTGTTCAGTGTTTTTGTTTTTGTTTTTCTCTTTATCCCATGGCACTGATGATAAGAAAGCCCCAGGCTCTCCACTAGCGTGGCAATATTCTTAAAGTGAAGTCATGTTTCAACCTGTGGCCAGATCTCTGGCATCTCCCAAGGCATTTCAGGCAAGCAAAAGTAATTGACCTTCCAGTTCCTCTGTGTCAGAGGAAAAGGCTCAGTTTATTCAATACTTGAGAAAAGTTGTGCCCTGGATAGGTGGTTCAGTTGGTTAGATTACCATCATGATAGGCCAAAGGTTGCAGGTTCGAACCCCAGTCAGGCCACGTGCAAGAGTCAACCAATGAATGTATAAATGGGTGGAACAACAAATTGATGTTTCTCTCTCTCCTTTCCTCTAAAATCAATAAAAAATTTAAAAAAGACAAGACCCTGGCTGGGTAACTCAGAGTGTCATCGTCCCCATAGGCTAAGGTTTCAGGTTCAGTCCCTGCTGAGGACACATACAAGAATCAAGCAGTGAATGCATAATTAAGTGGAACAACAAACTGTTTCTCTCTCCCTCTCTCTCTTTAAAGTCAATAAATAAAAATTGGGTGGGGTGTTGTTTTTTAAAGAAAAAAGTTGCTATTTTCCCTGCTTAGACACTAAGGTACCTTGACGGGCCTCAGAGATAACTACACAGGACTAATTATAATGCACTGTGAGATGGCTGTAGGCATCAGTATATAGGGCTCTCCAGCTAAGCCTGACGATTTCCTAAGCATGTGTCCTTTCCATATCCTCCTGCCTTCTCCCCTCCTCCAACATTTCCAGCCACCTTAGAGCCCTAAGAGAATTGAGAGGAAAAACAGTATTATCAACACAGACTTCTCTCAGATTAGAGCAGGAGCCAAATGAGAACTGGGTGGAGAGAGAGTAGAGGAGAAGCTAAGGAACAATCTTTTGCCTCAAGTCTGGTGCACCTCATGGAACATAAGTTCACGGGGGATGGCTGTTTCTGGACCAAACTTGGTGGCTGCCCGGCGCTCGAAGGCAGCAACATTCTGTTTGACAACCTCATCAAAAAAGATGGTGGCCAGCTGGGAGTGCAGCAGAGAACGAAATTCAAAGGAAATCTGGAAATGGGTAAAAGACAGTCAGAAACTCAAGACCCTGTTGGATAGCCCCTGGCCAAATGCAAGGACACTATTCAGTGCCTTTTCTTCCCCTCCCATGCTGGCTCCTTAGGGCCCCTCAAAAAACCTTAACTTAGGACTGAGCACAATGTTCAAGTTGGATGAAATGTCAGACCTGTGGAAATGATCATTGACTTAGGAAGTGCTATGTACTAGGTATGTATAAAGAATAATTTAGCCCTGGCAGGTGTAGCTCAGTGGATTGAGTGCTGGCCAGGTACCCAATAGGGGGCGCTCAAGAGGCAACCACACTGATGTTTGCCTCTCTCCCTCCCCTTCTCTCCAAAAATAAATTTTTTAAAATTTTGTTACAATAATTTGTTACAATACCTCAGTTCTGCCTCCACCCCCAGTTGTAGCCCTGTGTAATACAGGCTCCTGACTCACCGAAAAGTCCACAGTGCAAGTTCGCGGGTAGGCAGGAATACCAGGGCTGAATCGCCATATGGTCTCTAAGTGATTGAAGAGTTTGCCATCAGTGCAAACAGCCTAGAAATAAGGCAGTCAAGTAATTAAACATCATACCATACAATGGAATAAAACCTAAAATAGGTATAGTGGGCTATAATAAGGAATTGAAAGTCATTTTCCTTCTAATATTTTACTAGAAAAGTATTTGACATGTGACATTAAGTCATTATAAGAAGGCCAAAATAGGCCTTAAAAGTAAAAATGCTAGCAAATACAGAAACAACTGATCAATCTGTCCGACCAGCCTCACCTTGACCATGTGAGGTTTGACCATGGAAACAGCAGAGGTATAACGTTCCACCACAGGTGGAAAGCCAACCTCCAACTGGGCCTTCAGGTGACCTTTGCGGCTGGATACCACCAAAGACTTCTTACACCAAGGCACAAACTCGCAGTACTCCTGGACATTGGATACCACCTCGAACATCTCCTGCATTGAGTACCTAGGGGAAGGAATCAGAGGCCAAGGAACTGCCAGCTGGTTCAGGCTCCTCCTTGCCCTGGGTGCACTCCCCCCAGTACCTCTGCTGACTGACCATGCACTCAGGAATTAGAGACCACAAATTAAGCCTGAAGGAATGACCAAAAGCAAATGTGCAAGTTTTCATGGTAATGTTTCCTTATGTTTTAAGTTTACAGAATGCTTTTGTAATTAGTATCTATTTGATCTTAACAGGGATCATCTAGGGAGAACATGTTGTCCATCATACAAGGACTCAGATCCTAGCTTTACAACTTTCTAATAATTGTAGCCCTAGGTACATACCATTACCTGCCTCCATTTTCTCACCTGCAAATCAGAGGTAACAAGAGTATCTGGTTCATATGCATTTGTTGAGAGGATCAAATAAGAAAATCATTGTAAAACACCTAAGCAGTCTAATCGCTAGCAGTAGCAAGTGCACAGGAAGTGCTAGCTACTTCATATTGTGCTCAGAATACATAAAGTCAGGTAGGCAGAGAAATAATACCCTGCTGTCTTAACATTGTCCAACTCTAGGTGTGTTTCACTTAATGCACATACAGGACAACCAAGAAGAAAAGGGAAATTACAGTTGGAAGGCTGGCAGGGAAGGATAAACGATCAGTAATACAGCTGGGAGAGATGGCCAGGGATGAATCTTCTGCCCTATTGCCAATCCTTACATTCTAACCTGGACATGGTTATTTGCTTGGAGGGGAAGGGGATGTGGAGGTATGCTGGACAGAGGAGGATGCTCACCCCATGATCCTACGCTCGGAGTAAGCCTTTCTCTTGTTGGTGAAGGGGGCAGCAAAGCCCATGAAGGAACGGCTGGGAGGTAAGCCAGCCTCAGCCGCCAAGACTTGGGCAGCCCGGGGCAAGAGGAGGCTGCCGGAAATCAGAAATCTAAGCCCGAAAGCAAAGGAGAGACAACCTCAGGTTACTTTCGTGTTCAGCCATTCCTAGGTGAAGGGGAAGAGAGGCGCATCCCAGAGGAAGGTCGTCTGGACAAGCTTCTCCCCCAGCACCAGCTGCAACCCGCCAGGCAGTCACGAGTGCGAAAGGTCGAGGGCAGCTGAGGACAGTGCCGTGCGAGGAGACGGAAGAAAACAGAGCGCGTACGAACTGCCAATTGCTTTTGACTGCGGGCTATTGCATTGCTACTACTGAAAGCTAGGAAGCATCCCAGGTCCCGGCGCTTCGCCAAGCCCGTTGCTGTCGGGGCTTCCGCGAGGGGCAAGAACTGATTGGGCACCCACCCCGAAGACTTCCCCTCGCGCATAAGTTGCAAAGGGGTTCCCCAAAAGCTGTACACTGGACCGCAGGGAACAACCGCTACCACCGCCGCCACACTAGCATCCCTGGGTTGCAATCCTCCACCGTGAAACTTCGGGGTCCTGAGCGGGCCCCTTTTCCTCTCTTATAGCCTCCCGCACCTCCCTCTCACCTCATTGGTCGCCGCGGTCTTGGAGGGCCCGGGGGCGGGGCTGGGGCCGGGCGTGCTCCCGGGCGGAGCGGGAGGCCGCAGCAGCGCTGGGCCGCCGCGCTCGTCCTGACTGGGAGCCGCCGCGCGCTTGCCGAGGCCATGCGCGCCACCCTCCCTAGCCCTCGGCTCTGACACCCGCAGGGCCCTCCTCACTCCAGAGGACTAGCGTCAGGAAGCTCCCGTGGGGCAGGTCCAGGGAGCGCGGGGGTGGCGTGGGACGGTGGCTCCTCTGGCCTTGCTCCCGCCCAGGCGGCTGGGTGAGCGAGAACTGAGCTGCGACCGCTGCTCCCGCAGCTCCCAGTACCCCCACGTCACGCGGTTGCCATGACTCGGGACCGGGAGAGGGGGGAAGCAGGGGGACAACTCAGCCTGTCGGGAGATGTAGTTTAACACCTCTGGCGAGAAAGGACACACTGGAGTGTGTGTTTGAGAAGCTGCAGAGATGGTCCGGTGGAGCAAAGTCGCCAGGCAAATTACTATTCTTGGCCATTCTGGGTCATGGGCTTGATACATAAGCACAAAGGTGTATTAACAGCAAATACCTGTTAATCTCTCTTTTAAAAAATATTTTATTTTACTTATTTTTAAAGATTTTATTTATTTATCTTTAGAGAGGGAAGGGAGGGAGAGAGAGAGGGAAACATCAATGTGCGGTTGCTGGGGGCCTTGGCCTGCAACTCAAGCATGTGCCCTGACTGGGAATCGAACCTGCGAGGCTTTGGTTCACAGCCTGCACTCAATCCATTGAGCTATTCCAGGCAGGGCTAAATGCCTGTTAATCTCTTACAGCCTTTATCATATTCTCCCTTGTTGGTAGTTCTATAAATTCTATTCACCTTTGTGGACTCCACAGGGCTTAGTACTGTGCTTTACGTCTTTGAGAAAGGAAATGAACGTTGCACGCTCTGGGCTAAGAGTTTACATAGTTTTCTCCTTTAATAATTATACAAAGAAGTTGATGCCCTGGCTGGTGCACCCAGCCTAAGAACCGAAAGGTCACCAGGTGGATCCCCAGTCAGGGCACGTGTCTGGGGGTGCAGGCCAGGTCCCTGGTTAGGGGCGTGGGAGAGTCAACCGGTCAATGTATCTCTTGCGCATTAATGTTTCTCTTTCTCTCTTTCTCCTTCCCTTCCCCTCTCTCTAAAAGTAAACAAATAAAATCTTAAAGAAAAAAAAAAGAAAAGAAAAGGCGTTGAGGTGGGAAAAACCAGACTGACTTCTAGGGGAGAGAACCATCTTTGTCTGGAAAATATGCACTTAAGGGTAAGACCTTAAGGGCAGGAAGAACCCAGGCAATGAAACATCACTATACTGTTTTTCATCACCATAGAAGGAGAAAAAAAAATGCTCATGATAAAAGTGGGAAGAACAAAAGAAGAAAAAAAGGACAGAGCACTTACAGACTGGATCTAGGTGGGTGCCAAGGGCCATCAAAATTCTCCCATGGACATTTTAAAAATAGTGGTGATGGTGGTGGTGGTTAGGGGGTGGAGGGATCAAGGAAAAAGGACTTATGGTCATGGACAGCAGTGTGGTGATTGTGAGGGGGCGGTATAAGGGGGATAAATGGTAATGGAAAAAAATACAATAAAAAAAGAAATAAAAAGGGTGTTGGTGCCTACTGATACAATGAATGATGTTTATACTATTACATTGCAAGCCCCTCTGCTGCTTTCTTTCTAAATCTTTAGTCAAGCTCTCTACATTCAGGAAAGACTTGAGTAGTGTATGTAGGTGGGATGGAGGGGACAGAATAAGTAAAGATTAGGTTCTTCTTTGGGTCTACTTGGTGTGGAAAATAAACATCTTGCCCAGAAACGGGGGTCTGGAAACATAAAAATCCTCCAATTCCCCCCACTGCTTGAGGCTAGCATTTATTTGGGGTTCTCCACTGGGTATGGATTGATTTAAAGTTTGAGCCCCTTTAATCTGAATTTCAAGGAGTAGGAGTCCTCTCTTGAACCCTGGCTTACAGTTAACCTTTTGTAAGGAAGGTATTTTAATTCTTATTTTATATTTCTATATAAAACCCCAAGCTGGGGAATGATCTCATTTCTTTTTCTTTGCTAACTGTCTGACATCTTTTTCCCTCAGCATCCCCACCTCAACCATCACATAACCTGGAGCCACTCTCAGTGGGCATGTGATCTTGAGAGACACATCCTCTTTCCAGCCCCACTCTCTTATCTAGTCCCTCTCCCTCTAAGGGCTCAAGAATGTGAAACAGCTGCTTTGAGTGAGGAGGAAGGATCTGTCCAGATAAAAGCCAGACATTAACTGGGGTACATGACTGAACTATGACCTCATTAACATTCGGCCTTAAAAGAGTTAACTGCTGCAGAATTCCCGAGGTACAATAGGCTTGCCAAGCCAATTTGCTCCTTTACCCTACTAATTAGATTAGCTAATTACTGCATTTTAAACTTTTCCTAGTTCATTCCCTGCACTTGAAGGAACCAACTTCCTCATCATACTGTATTTATAACTCCAAATACTGACTCAAAATACACCACCTGGAAGCCCCTCTTGACTGAACCCATCCCTCAATGTGAATGTCCAATAAAGTAGCATGTATCCCATATTCGCGAGTTGTTTCATGTTTATATGTATGTTCTCTACTAAGCTATAAACTCCACAAAAATAGATGCCATTATTTCGAAGTTTCTACCACCAAACCAGTTAGTATATTGCTGTACACAAGGGTAAGTTTTCAACCAACATTTGTCAGAAGAATGAAAACTGAGTCTTAAGGACAGGAAGGCATCTGCCTAGATACATCCAAATATGGATTTAGTAGTTGAATCCAGTGGTACTGTACACATACGATGTTTTTGCCACCATCTCTGGCCTCCTGCCCAACCCTATGCATCCCCTTGAACTCTGGAAGTATCTGTGTTACCTTTATGATAACCCTTCTTCCCTACTGGGAAATCCTCTTTCTGTGCAGTGAATAATATTAAAAATAACTTCTAGCTCTTCCTCCTCCTTCCAGCTGCCCAAAGAACCTGGCTGGCAACCTCCCTTGTTCACCTCCACTCCCCAGCCAGAATCAGACACGTGACTTCAGCTCAACTCCTGACTCCCAATTCCTCAGGTTACCAAGAGCTATTTCAGGCAATAGAATCCACATAGTCCCCTCCTCCCCATCCTCTGGGCCATATCCTAGCTTAGCCCTTCCTGGAAGGTCCATCTTACCCAATAGCCAAGTCAGCATGTCCCAACACCCATATCCATCTTGTCTCCAGCTACCTTCAGTTTCCACTTTTTCAGCCTCATCTTCATCATCATCATCATCAAATATTAAGTGCTTATTCCCATGTGCTGCTCTGCTAGATCTATAAAGAATAATTTAATGTCTACCATTGCCTTCAGAGAGCTCAAAATCCTTTTTCATAGAAAAACAAACAAACAAACAAACAATAGAAAGAAAGACTAGCTAACAAGGAATTTAAAAGATATTCTGAATTGTTGGACACTTCTATGTAAAAAAACTGAAGGTGAAATGAACAACGAAGTTGTGCAATTTAAATGTGACTGCTAGCTCTGGCCAGGTAGCTCAGGTAGGTTAGAGCATCATCCTGATACACCAAAGTCGTGGGTTCCATCCTCCCTCAGGCCCACGCAAGAATCAACCACTGAATGCACAATTAAGTGAAATAAGAAACCAATGTCTCTTTCCCTCTCTCTCTCTCCCACCTTCCAATAAATATAAAAAATTCAAAGAAAATAATAAATGTAGCCCTGGCTGGTGTAGCTTAGTGGATTGAGCGCGGGCTGCGAACCAAAGCATCGCAGGTTCTACTCCCAGTCAGGGCACATGCCTGGGTTGCAGGCCACAGCCCCCAACAACCGCACATTGATGTTTCTCTTTCTCTCTCTTTTTCCCTCCCTTCCCTCTCTAAAAATAATAAATAAAATCTTTAAAAAAAAAGACACTCGAGTTCTGTTTTAAAAAAAAGAAAATAATAAATGTGACTGCTACAGGGTAAATAAGTGTTTGTGGGGGCCTAACAAAAGGGAAAGAAACTGTTAAACTGGGAAGACTTCCTGGAACAGGTAAGTTTTACATAGTATTGTAAATTTTATTTTCAATATGGAAAATAAATAAATTATTAAAAGTATATGGTGGTAGGTAAGTTTCCCTCTTATTTCTCATTCCTTGTCACCCAGTTTCTCTCTCCAGGAAAAAACACTGGTACCAGTGTATTGTGTATTTTCCCAGTGGGAATCAAGATATTGAAAGCAATGAGGGGTTACAGATTATTGGAGGGCAAGGAAGGACTTTTTTATCTATGCCTTGACCAGGGGCCAACTGCTACCCTTTCTCCTAAATGTGTTCCCTTCTTAGAAGACGCTAATTGAGTTGCTGAACTCTCAACAGGACCCTGAGTCACCTTTTATAAATTGTAGCAATTTTTCTTTTTAAAAAGATTTTACTTATTTATTTTTAGAGAGATGGGAAGGGAGGGGAGGAGAGAGGGAAAGAAAGTCCACGGGCAAGAGATACATTGACCGGTTGGTTGGTTGCCTCTCACACGCCCAGGACCTGGCCCACAACCAGGCAAATGCCCTGGACCGGGAATCAAATCAACGACCGTTCGGTTCGGTTCGGCACTCAATCCACTAAACCACGTCAGTCAGGGCCCAGTTTTTCAATTTCCACTTTTCTTCTTCCCTCTTTTTCCCTTTTTGGGCTGGGCTGCCCTGCATCCAGCTCTTTCCTGATTGGCTGCTCTCTGGCCTCTCCAATGGAAGAGGGGAAGCACCCCAATCCTTTTCTGGGTAGAAACCGTTGAGCCTTTTAAAGCGTAGCCGCCACCCTACCACCTAAACCTGTCAATGTAGTAATTAGGGAGTCGAAAAGTGACCCTTCTGTTGGCCTTGGAGGCCTTCAGCTGCCAGCACTTCTAGCCTCTTTGTGGGGGTTTTCTGCAGCTGGAGAGTCCTTGGGATTTCTTTCTGAAGTTGAACCCTTTTACTATTTCCCTTCTACCCAACTTATATCGCCACTAGTAGATTTATACGCTTGCCCTTCCTCTGAAGCTATTGTCATATATAATCCCCAGATCTCCACGCCCCTGCTTCCCCAAGTCGGTGGGGGTTTTAGGGGTGTGTAACCGCTGACGGGAGGAGTTAGCTCCCGAGGGGGCACTGAGGTTTGGTGGGCTGCAGGGCCAATGTCCGAGTTGCTGCTATAGTCTTGTGGGGGAACCCTGGGGCCGCCAGACAGAGCAGACAGCACTGCGCGGCCTGCCTGGGGAGCCGGGGAACCTAAGCGCGGTGT